GCTGTTAAAAAAGAGAAATAAATCAAACAACACTATCTTTCAGGAGTAAAATCAATTATAAAAGTGTGATTTATGGTCTCAATAGTACTAAAATAATTCATGGCACTGTGTGATTTACTTTTCGAGTAATAATTGTCAATAAATGAATATTAATCAGCAAAAACCAGATGATTCACTTTGGATCAGAAGGCTTTTGTTTTACTTACTCAGATGAATAAAATGATAATAGTTTGTAGGAAATCGTAATCTTTAGAAATAAGCCAAGAAGAAATTATTAATGAATATATACCTGAGTGTATTGTGTGATTGTCTTTAACTTGTTTATATGTTATCGAGTATAAATAACAAAATGCGTTCGTTTTGTCTATTTATTAAGACAAATTGAAAAATGAAATAGAAATATATTCGATGAGACTCCTGTATATCATTGTATGATAAGAAAGTGTACATTGTATTTTCTCTTTAGCGTGAAGTAAAATCGATAAGACATTAATTGATATAGTAAAACAACCATAACAAATATTTTATTTATATAAGTTTTATTGTTATTTTTATCTCTTTCGACTTTATTTTCAAAGATCAACTAAGTACGAAAATTTTTCGAAATGCACTGATTTCTCTTGTTTTTATTTTAGCTAAATGAAAGAGGTGAACAATATTAACATCATGCATATATCTAATACTATTTTTAACATAATGCGTGTCTTGCAGAATGAACAAGAAAAATAAAAATAAAACAAAGAAATAATATAAATCAACTTGTCACTTTTTGTTTCTAGACTCTTGAAGAAAATCATTAACACTTATGACTGAAGCATACAATAAACAAAAAATACACGGGGAAAATAAAATAGATATTGACAGACTAGATACATTCGAGTGCAAGAGTTTTATAAGAACTTTCATCAATTTTAACAAAAGTTTTTTCTTGAAATGAAAACATATATACTTCTCCTTTTGATATATCTGTCCAAAGCGCATGTACTTCTAATTCATTGCGATTGAGTCGTTCTTTTAAAAATGGATATGAAAGAAAATTTTTCAATTGTTCTAATGTGTTTATCTAAAATAAATAAAAACTTATTTTCTTTTCAATTGAAAAGAATATAAATCTACTTGAGAAAATTTATCGGAAGGTTTAAATTGATTATGTGGATCAATATATGCTTCAAAATCATCTTCATAATGTTGTGCACCAGCAAATTTAAGTTTTCGATCAAAACCAGTAGACATTTCAAGTTTTTTAAATTGTTCAACAGTGCCTCGTCCATGAACTCTAAGCCAATCTTCGAGTGGACCTTTTGATGGCAATTGTAAATCATTACGTATTGAATAAAGTAAATTCATTGCTTTGCAATCAGAATGACCAATAACAACAATAACTTGAACTTTATTTATTGAACATGCTAGTTCAAGAGCTCCACATTCACCTCCCACTGTTACATTATTTCGAAAACAACTATGATGAGGAACTAAATTACCTTTAAAATAAAAAAAAATCTATTATGAAATAAAACAATTAGAATAAAAGAAAAAGTATTTAGTACCAGGATTTCGAACTATAAATAATTGGCCAGGTACAGCTTGAGTTATCCGAGATGCAACAACACGACTATCAACACAAGTTAGTAGAAGACCTTCAGGCTAAATATTAATATTTTGTTTTCATTTTTAATAAAAAATTCAACTAAAAAAAATTGTCTTACAGTAGGTCCTGTTGCTACTTTTTGAAATTCTTCTAAAAGTGATGGTCGTAATGTTTGACGGTATTTCATTATGCCATCAAGAATTCGACTCATTCCTTTACGTGTTACAAATGCAGAAGCCATGTTTATATTTTTTTTGTCAATGAAATCTGAAAGAAAAAATTTCTAAAATTTGATGCTTGATGGAAAATGAAAATATTAACATAAAACGGTTATTTGAAAAAATAAAAAAGCACAAATGAAACATTACTTGTGCTATTACAGACCATCAACGCGGTCTAAGATCTTTGCTAATGATTAAACTTGTGTTGAACATGAATCACAATAAAATAAACTATTTGCTGATTTTAATTCAAGTGAAGTCTTTGGTTCATTTATAAATAATACTTCACAAATATTTTGATAATTGTTCTTTAATATGTTCGAATGTTTCTTCACATTTTTCTTTTTATTACCAAAGTAACTCTCCTCACAAATTATAATCTATTATCCAAATTCATTCAAAGCGGTTATCATTATTGTAATCATGAGCACATTTTAGATCATACAATTCATTTTTATTTTTCTATCCATCGATGTATTGTTGATTGGATAGATCCAAAAGTTTTAATAGTTAATGTATCAAGTAACAAAGATTTAACTTGTGATATAGTTGATTAAATATGATTTTTGTTAAACATTTCAGAAGTCTGTGAAACAGATGTTCTATTTACATTAGCAAAAATTTTCTATTTCGTTTAAACGTATGGTAACAGCTGCAATAATAATACTTCGTATTGATTGCTAATTTGTCCATGTCGATATTGAATTGATTGTGTTTTTTTAAATGTTTTATCGGTTATTATATCGACATTGATTAACACTTTCATCAATCCAAAATCATTCTCAATTTTTCTAACCAATTTTGAAAACTTTGTTTTTTTTTTTTGGTTCATTATATAGAAAAAAACCCACACACATATTCTTGAGTATTCAGAGTTACTTTTTTTGTTTTCAACAAATATTCACTACTTACAAGAACATTGATATTAAGTATATTAATAAATACGACATCAAGTACTGCATCGACCATAAATAAGACACTTAAAATATAAAAATTTGTATTTATTTCTTGAGGATAACTTATTACACATCTTATAAAAAAAAATACTAGTTTTTGAATCCTTTCTTCTAAAAATTCACCTGAACAACATGTAATAGTATTGAATGACAATAATTTAATCTTGTTACGTGAAATTTTGTAGCTATTAATATTGTCATATATACCCCAAAACATGATTAATCTGTTTGACAACTACCAAAATTTAAAATAACAAGATCAAACCATTAAAAAAACTAGTGTTTCTATGAATTTATGTAATTTTGCAATATCATAAATAATATATCATTTGAGAAAAAATTATTTTAGTTAATTTAAATAAATAAGATGATTATTTCTAATGGATTTCGATCAGCATAATAAAATATTTCCCAAACTTTTTTTGAGATTAATTCGATGATTATAGCCAGTGAACACTTCCTAATCAATAAGAAAAGGATTTTTTTCGATCAGAATTACATATTGATGTTGATGGAACTTCATTTTGAATTAATCAAACAAACTCATTAATTGATTTTTCTACATCAACCATATAGAACTCATGTAATGTACATCAAGGATATATTTCATTCAGAACATGATCAATACCAAGCAAAAATATCTAATTGTAAACGAAGTTAACTAGTCAAATCATATGAAACTTCAGAATGTTTTTTAAGTACAGTACAATCATGAGTTGCATAAATATAAACAATATCTGTTATGAAAAAAATTTTCTATTACATACTCTTTTTTTGAGTCTTATGTACTCTCCCTATTTATAAGTTTATTTGTATTGCTTCCAATTGCTACACACAAACAACATGACAACCTATTCTATTCCTACTATATTACTCTGACTAAGTAAGTTCTTTTTTTTTGTCTTTTGATCCTTTTCGATTTGTTACTTTCTTTTCAGTTTTCTATAGGTATCAGTAGAGCCTGACCGCCATCGGTGATCGCAAAAAAAAAGATAAACTTTCCATTTGTTGGACATTTTATCAACATTCTTTTTTGTGGAAAGATTATCATGCGTTTCATCTTTATCAAATAATGGATTAATCGATGATGATATGGTACAAAATTCCATGAATTTCATACTTATATAGTTGCTGCACGTTGAAAAAAAAAGTGTTGAATAATAAAACCTAGAAAAGGATTTATTATTTGTTTCACAAATATTTGAAGTTTTTACTATCTTTATAGCCGTGCAAGAGTTTATGAAAACTTTATGTGAAGTTTATGAGGCGAATAAACCCTTTTGTACGGTTTATTACTCGACGCTTTTTCTTACAGTGTATCGGTGAAATTCTAATTAGTATGATAAACAATAACTAAGCGAGATTCTCATTATTTCATTTTCCTTGATGTCTTTCATAATTAACTTCAACACATGATTTCATTGTAATCACCAGTAAATAAAATTGAAAGGTGTGGTTCAACAACAATGTAGCTTTTACCTTTTTTCCTTTCTTTTGCTTTAAAAATAATGATAAACAGGGCCAAAATATGTACAAATCATTTGTGTAAAACGATGTTTGCGTTAATTAATGATAAATATCAAGGTTAAAATTTAGTGAATAAAAATTGCGAAAAAGTTGCACATCATAAGGAATTCATAATAATAATAATAATAATGTAAAAAGAACCTATGGATGAAGCAGATCATAATATATTCTAGATGAAGTTAAAGGTACATTTGTATCGAGAACAAGCGAATACAAGTATGTAGATACAGAAGAGGTTCGTTCACGAGCCATAATTCTACAAGAGGAAAATGATAGCGTCGAAAAAAAGTAGAAAATTGGAGTTGCAGATAAAAATAGAAATTAATCGATTAATATATTTTTTATATAAAAGATGATTGGATTATTTTTATGACAAATCAATAAGTTGTTCAATAAATAGAAACTAGTTTAAAAGAAGAAAAATATTAAAATATCAAGGTAAATTAGTTATGATTCAACAAAAACAAACAATATAAATATATCTAAACCGTATGAAATTGAAGCGACATCTAACAAAAAATAAGAGTAGCAAGCTCATTTTTCACATTAATATCTTGACAACCGATTGTGAAATGGTTTATTTTCAATTTTTATATTCAAAAACACTTTTGAAAAAAATTTTCTTAATATTAATATAATATATAATTGGATTGTAAAATACTCTGAATTAAAATAATTTAGGAAACAGTAAGTACTGCATTCAATTCGATGGCAGCTTTTTTGGAACTGCGTAATAATGCTGATCAAATTCTTGTTGAACTTGAACATTTAGCAAAGTACTATTTATTTATTTATTTATTTTATTTGTATATTTATCTCATAAGTTTCATAGAGAAGCTGAATATGTTCGAGAACACGAGAATAGAGCTTCTGTAATTATTCAATCAGCATGGCGCGGTTATCTTGTTCGATCTCATATTAAGTTAGTGATCGCACATTTTTATTTGTGTTTTAAACATTACATTTATCTTTACAGATATTTAAATCGATGTGCGACTCTTATTCAAACATGGTGGAGAATATATAAGGCTAAAGTGTTATTTCGACAAAAACTGAAAGTAATAAAATAAAAATTTATTGAAATTTCTATCAACCTAATTGTTTAGGAACATGTTCTTCAACTTCGATTAAAATATTATGATGATAATGCAGTAAAAGTAAGAATATATTTTTTTTGTGTTTTATAATAGCAAACCGTTTTTTATTTATTTATTTAGATTCAAAAAATTTGGCGTGGATTTTATGTACGTAAATATGTGCTTGATTTTTACAGTCGAAAACGATATCTTACTGGACTTGAACAAAAGAATGAACAAATTAGGTAGATTTTTTTTCTTTTCTCTAAATGTTTTAAAAAAGATGGTTTTTTTTTATAAATTAGAACACAACTACGTGAATATAGAGAATATTTAGACCAAAAGCAACTTGAACAACAGCGACAAGCAAATATTGCAAAGCTAGAAGAAGAAGCTAAAAAAACACATTATTTAGTTAGTACTAAAGTTGTGCCTGGCATATATAACTCAAAATATTTAGAGTAAAATACGTTTTTCTTTAATCCACTATGATTATGAAAGAAATCATGTAACATAGAGCTCCGAAAGAAATGGAAATTATATTGAGAACTACAAAGTTTGAACTACCAACAACTACGAAACCGATTAAGAGTAAGAAGGATCAAGAGATTGCAGCATTAACAAAGTTTTTACCTCCACTCAAATCAAAGCCACAAGCAAGTTTTCTTTTTTTATTTTGTATGATGTTCAGCATATTAAAATTTTAATTAGGGTCCTTTTCGTGCACCGGAAGACGTTCGTTATCAACGTTATCGTCCACTAAAACCATCATTAAGATGTGAAACAGATTTTTTTGCAACAGAAAAAATGCGTGAAGAATTGAAACTTCAAGAATGGGTTGATCGAATTCATGATGACACGTATAGTTTCTGAAAATTATTTAAATATTAATTGATTTTTTTTCTTTCGTTTGTTTTTCATTAGATTTAAATCAGGTCTTTGTCGCGATAAACCTTATCCACGAATGCTAATTGGAGAAGACCCATACGTAGAACCAACTAAACTTGAACGGCTAGCGTTACGAGAACCAAATAAAACACAATGGGTTGCTGACAAGGTATTGTTCTAAATAGAATCTGATATCTATAATATACTTTGTTTTTTTTAAGGGTTTTCGATCATTAGTACATGGTATACCAGAATTTGACAAGTTCGAAACGACCTATGTAGAACCACATTTTTATTATTCATCTTCATAACATTATCTATTTCTTTCTCCTTTTAAAAACGACTTTTGTTTTTAAATATATTTTTCCGATTTTCTGATAAATACGTAATCATTCAATGGCGTTTGAATTCTAAAAGATTAATTTTCAATATCGATATTCTTATGTATTTTACAATCTATTTCGACTTTTTTGTACAATGACTATTTCATTGTTCAAGTATGATCATGAGACAAAAAAGGTGTTGATTTTTTTCATGTACACATCAAAAATGAATGTATAAACTAGGAAAGCATCTCGCTGGTTAATTAATCTCTTTTGCAATCAGTCTTATGGTCATGAGATAGATCCTATTGAAACTAGAAGAAATCTAACAGGATTTCTATTGATCTTTTTTTCGAATTATGATCATTTTTGGTGTGGTGTTCAACAAAATTCTGTGAACCTTTTCAGGTAACTTTGGAAATTGGCCTTCAACTTTTGAATTTGAACCGCACCAATTAAGTTTGCAATGGAATCAGTTTCTTGTAAAAGTATCAAATTTTCTGATATCTGTTATCATTAGCTACTATTATTGAAAATTCTGTTATGCAGAAAGGCAAACTTTGATCGTAAATTTACACATATCTCAGAATAAAGATACTACAAAATCTGATACCTTCACAAGAAACTAGTCCTATTGAGAACTTAATTTATCTAAAGATTAAGTTAATATTTGAAAATCAATTGTGACAATGATTTAAGAAGAATTACGGCCTTGCTTTGGAAAACTGACTAAAATGGTCATAATTCAAGAAATAATACTCATGGCAATCAATCGTTTTAGGCTCTCTCTAGTTTCAACAGAATCCATCTAATGATATAAGACATTATCTTAAAAGTAATATATCACTTGACAAAGTTCTCTCGTTAACAGGGATGGACGAGTCAAGCCATTTTTCGAGTTGAGTCAAGTCGAGTTATCGATATTTTCGAGTCGAGTTGAGTCGAGTGAACTTATTTTTTCAATTATTTCGTTTTGTTTATTTTGGTAAAAATACTAATAGCACATTTTTTATGATAAATTACCCGGTTTCTGTCCCAGTCAAAAGATTACAATAAAAAAAGAACAAAATCGATTGATATCATGCACTTTTTATTGATTTCTCATCAATTTCTAACTGGTTTTAAAGCAAAATAATCATAATTTCATAGACTTGCAATTAATTTCGTTAAGAATCAATTATGATTTAATGGAAAAAATGGATTGTAACAGATAGAATCTGATGAAATCTGCAGAATGTTTCTTCAATGATTATAGGAAAAATCAATGATAATCTCTCTTATTCATTAGATTTTAATCGCTTATAATTAAAAACAATCCAAATAGTCAACGAAATTGTGAGTTTTTTGGTTATTTTTTACTAATAATCAATTGAAACTATGCGAAATTTGGTTGATTTTTCATCGATTTAGTTGATTTTAATCTGACTGTTCTCAACTTGTTTACGTAGGTAATTTTCCTTCGCAGCAAAATAAGAACAGTTCCATAGAAATAATATGATATATCTACTATCGGGTGTCCCATAAATAACATGGTGATAAGAAATTTAAATATCTCTATTGCGGCTCGAGGAAACGAGCTGATTTTTTGATCATTGATAGAGGCATGTTCAAAGTTTATATCCGTAAAGATAAGCCTAGAGAGACTCTTTGTTAAGTATCACTATTGACCTCTACAAAAAAATTTTACTTTTTCACAGATAAGCAAAATATAATATAAAATGTAGCGTAAAAGTGACTTTGCCGAAAAAAAAGATTACATCTCTTCACTACGGCTCGAGTAAACGAGCTGATTTTTCTATCAATAATAGATACATGTTCAAGTTTTATATTCATAAAAACATGTCTAGAAACATCCTTTGTTATATATATTTTTTTTTTCTATATGTGAAAAAGTAAAATTTCTTTGTTGAGGTCAATAGTGATACTTAACAAAGAGTCTCTCTAGGCATGTCTTTATGAATATAAACTTTGAACATGTGTCTATCAATGATAAAATAATCAGCTCGTTTCCTCGGGCCGCAATAGAGATATTTAAATTTTTTATCGCCGCGTTATTTATGGGATACCCAGTCTATATTTATCAACAATATAAAAACATCAAAATTGACTTTTCTCTTATACAAATTTTCAGACCAAACTAATGAAAACCTTATCTTTTACCAATACAAGCTGAAACTTCAATCTGTATGCTAGCAAGAATTATCTATCACTATTTAAATTAATGTCTTCTTGTACCTTAAAGGTGTGAAATTACAAATATCATTCGTAATACATAGTTTATCGTTCACAATCATATGAATATATAGATAGGAGAGCTAGTTTTTAAAATTCTTCTAACGCAACTGTTATGTACGTAGTGTTCCCCTACGGCCGTAAAACGGAAAGAAGATACTCTTTCTAGTACAGTGGTTAATACGTCTGCTCGGTAAACAGGAGATACATGGTTCGATTCCATGTGAGGGAGGTTGTCTTTTTCTCCGTTCTGTTGTCATACCATCACGCTGCTTATCTCGGTCATGAGTCATAACATCAGACTCTTACAGCAACATATTCAATTATAACGAAAATTATTAATAAGTGAAAATTTGATCGTGCAAATTGTAATATTTTATAGACGCAAATAAAAGTTTTTTTTTGATGAACGACTCGAGTCAAACAGTCGAGTCAGCGTCACAAAATTTCCAAGTCCGAGTCTTGGCCAAAATGTGACTCGAGTCCGAGTTTTGACTCGAACTCGCCCATCCCTGCTCTTTAGGTTTTCTTTGTTTTATTTTCCAAGAAAAATCATGTCTCATCGAAACAATCTGCGAAATAGGTTCAATAAATGTTAGCAATGCATTATGTCATGAAAATTGATGCCAAAATCATTTTGTGACCCTTTTGAAATTTATGAATAAACATCATTCTGTTAAGTATCAGATGTAAAACGTATTTCATTTCATGTAAGGAAAAAACTGTTATCATTGTATTTTTTTGGAAGTTTATCTTATACAGGTTGATTTTTTTAGTCGTGTTTACTTGATAATCAGTACTGTTAGCAGTTACATTTATTACTCTCATAAAGATAAGTATTAGGTAGTACACTCTGAAAGTAGTCACGTTAAGAAATACCGCAAGCATTCATGAGTATCCGTATCATTAAAAATGCGTCACTTTTAGTGGTTAATCGCGATATTTGAAAAAATCGTCGATCAATCATAATTAATTAATGAGTTTTAGATATTACTATAAATTGCAATTAATTTACAATGTCCCAAAAAACTTCTGCAGTAAGTATTAATATATACAAATAAGTATATTTTTACTTTTTTTCGATCATTAGATCATCTCAATAATTACTAAGCATCATTTTATAAAAATAATGTTTTTTCTTGTATTTAGCGTATCTGATCGTCAAAGTGAACAGTCAATATTCTTTTATAAAAGTAATTTTTCTTTCTTGTATTTAGATCATCAAAATGAGCAGTGAGTATAGTTCTATTTGAAAAAAACTTTTTTCCTTTTGTTTACTGTAGATCAAGAGGCAGAAATCATCTTTCTTCTTATTTACGAGAAAAATTTTTTACCACAATGGTAAACGACGGTTGTTTACTCACCGAGGCGTAATCATAGTCGTAGATACAACTACTATGATCAGATGAGATTATCGAAAATATTATTTGGATAATCACGATTTTCTCTAAAAATCGGAAAAAGTCGCTGGTGTAAATGATTAAATACGATATAATCTCACACATAGTTCGACTAATAAACCACGATAAAATTGTCAATATTTGCACGATTGTAGGTTTTCATTGCTCATGAATTTTACTCGTGCTAAGATCAAAGTTTATCAGTACTAAACTTGAGTAGTCACCAGGTAATATTCGTGTCTCATGAGTGCTCCTATATGACTTTTTCAGTGCGAAAATCATTTTTGTAAAATGATTTTGAACATGTATTCTGTTTAGTACTATAGTATTATATTTGTTTTGTGTAAAAATGTACAATTATAGCTCTTTGATTTCATATTTAGGTTAAGATACGGTATATTCAATCCCTCCTCCTACAACGAATTTTTACTATTTTGCCACTATACTTAGATGTTTGCTAGAGGACATTATACACTATATAGTAGTGTAGTACTACTAATGGATCATGAAACTCAACTTAAGCAAAATTGTGAATGGAAATATGTTTGTAAATAATATGACATGAGTTTTTAAACTTTATAAATGCTTAAGTAGATGATAATGGATTTTTATAGAAAAGTAACATCGTTAATGTCTATCAAACACTCTAATCACCAATTTCATAAATGCCGTTTCTAATATTTATCCTTAATGAATGTTATTCAATACGACTGTCTTCTATTATATTAATATTAACATCCTCTTCATCGTCTTCTTTATCAATATCTTCATTATCTTATAGATTCTTAAGATGATGAATATGTTTGTTTGATAACTAATCATCGTTAATAAGCTGTCCTAGAATCTATCAGTAAGAATACGCCTTTTTCTGATCATATCACCCAATAGTCGTAATACTATACCGTCGCTAGTATACTTTCAGTTGTAACTCAATGTTCATTTCTTTCATAACTACGCGAATAAGAACAATTAATTAAATCCATATTAGCAAACGATAGCTTCTACGTATAAATAAAAATTCAAACAAGAAAATTATAAGAAATACGTCACAATTATGGTTGATCAATTTAAATTTAAAAAAATTATGAAATCCGGAAATAAATTTAAAAAAACTAAAATTTATTTTAAATTTAAATTGAATTTACATAAATTTAAGTAAAATTAAAATTTTTTTTATATCAATTTAACCTAGTTTAAACCAAATTTAAATTTGTTTAGTTGCTTCCAGAAAAAAACAGCCTTTATCTCAAAGGTGTGCTATCAAACGCATGTTTCTGATTATATCACTACCATTAGAAAACAATAGAAACGAAGCACGGCTTTTTTATACGGAAACTTTGATTCTGATAATCGGAC